TTTTACTCGTAAACCACGGTCATTAAGATACCTGAAACTTTATAAAGGTACAGAACTCAGGCGCATGTGTCATTATGATTCGGTGCTAGTCTTCCGTGATTTTTTGGACATTAATGTTTATCACAACTTCCTGCTTCTCTTTGTTGCCCTGTACATTCTTGCAAATCCAGTATTTGTAAAATCCCAACAGATGTGTGAATATGCTAACAATTTGCTGCGATTATTTATTCAGCATTCCATGCAAATTTATGGCCATGAATTTGTTGTTTATAATGTTCACGCTTTGTGTCATCTATCTAAAGAGTGTGAGATACATGGCTCGCTGGATGAGTTTAGCGCTTTCAAATTTGAAAATGCATTGAAGTCTTTGAAGCAAACCTTAAAATCCCATTACAAACCGTTGCAGCAAGTTGCTTTTCGAGATTGTGAAAGGCAGTTGTACGGCAATACAGTTGTCCTACAATCTGAAGAGCTTCAAGTTTCTCTGTCTCAATCATATACCAACAATGATGAAGTTTTGCCTGGAAGTCATTATAGGAGAATCACAATTGGCAAAATAATGCTTCATGTGAATGGCAAAGATTCTTGTTTTAAAACTCGTGACGAGAAAGTGGTTGTCCTCCGTAATATTGTATGTGGTAACGACAATGCTGTCAGTTTAGTTGGGAATTGCTTTCAGGAGAAACTTGACTTTTTTGGGTATCCCTTGCAGTCTTCTGAATTGGGAATATTTAAAGTATTAAATCTTAGTGCAGCCAGATGTGTTTTTAAAGTTGCTGACATTGTTGCTAAATGTTGGCTTATGCCAGATGGAAATTCGTTTTGCTGTGTGCCACTCTTGCACACATGCCAACAATAAAAGTTTCTACAAGAAATGTAAATTAGTGTATATTTTTTTGTATAGTTTGTTGTGCTGAAATTGTTCAACAATAATGATGTTGAGGAAGAATTGGAAGAAAACAACTTCTATGAAATAGGATTGTCTAAATGGCTTTTTGAAGTAGATGAAAATATGATTGGAATGACCTATTGGCCCCCTAGCAATCAAAATGTGGCACTTTGTGTTCGAGAAGAAAGAGCAGCTGATCCCAAAACTTGGGACAAACTTCGCATCGAGGTTAAAAGATATAAGGGTAAGTTACAGTGAAGTAATACTTTTATGATATGTAGCTTTAATCTAGCACTTTGGTGAAGTCTTCCTTTCAGTTGTGAACTATGTATTATGTTTTAAAGCGTTTGCATATAAATTATGAGTTACATATAAATTTTTCTTCAGTGTAAAAGTTGTCATGTTTTGACGCAGTTTATTCTGTACTGACAGTGATTCTGTTTGTGGTTTTATTTTCTGTGATATTTGGTGTTACTATACTATCATCATGTTTTTATATTTTTTTATAGAAACTTACATAGCTGCCAGAAACACTTTAAACGGAATCATAAAATTCAGCTCGGCATATGAAACAGAAACTGAGTTTGGACGAGGGATGAGAAGAAAAGCAAAGCGAAAGAGGATTCTCTCTTCATCAGATTCCGAAGAAGAGGCGGTTGAGAGAAAGCAAGTGAGGCTAAAGTCCAAGATTTATAATATTCCTCCCCCACCTTTCCCACCTCCCCCACCTTCTGTGCCAGCACTGGAATCAACTAGTCTATCAGGATTAAAGAATTCTCAGAGAAGTAAGAATTTTGAAAATAATGCAAAAGCAAAGAAAGACCAGCATAATATGCCCAGAACTGAGATTGAATCCTCATTCCCCTCACGAGGAAATCCGAAAGAATCTAGGTAAATCGAGTTATATTTGCTACTGTTTTTCAATTTATCATAACAAATATAATTTTATTTCTGACTTGCATTTTTCCATATATCTGTGATAGGAAATCTGCCAATTCAATTCAAGCTGGAAAACAAAATGTTGGTTTATCAAGCAAAAAGAGTACTGTCATTACAAAACTGTCTGCAGGGGCACGTATCAAGGAAAATGCCCAAAAGAGAGCAGTGAAAGATAGTATAACTATGTCTAGCAGAGATCAACTCGTAGCAAAGCTAGAGGCATTGCGTGAGAAATCTAAAGAGAAGAAAATTATTGATGTAAGTTCCTCTTTCGTCCCACAGAGTAGCCGTAATGAGTCTTCAGATTATTTAGATGTGGATGAGGAATCATTTTTAAAGGCCAACTCACTAGAAATAGAGGAGTCGTCAGTAAATGAAGAGGATTTGTCTGAAAATATGTTTCAGAGTAAAAGGTCTACTGGGTAGGACACTTTTCAGATCTTTATCTTGAAATATTTTTTAAGAATATTTTATTTCAAATTTCTAATTGCATATGTTAACTACATATGTTGAATTATCTCAATTTTGAATGTTTTATCTAGATTATCCACTTTAATTACACAAAATGATGTTGAAGGTTATCAAACTTCTGCATTCTCAGACTCAACTCTGAACTGCACACCCACTGAATCACCTATACCTATATCTGTTTTTCCTTATAAGAGTTCTGGAAAAGACTGCAATGGTAAGATTTTCTTTTCCTCCAAAATAGTGGTGCATTTTTGGGCAATCCCATTATATTATAGTATTATGTGCGTTGTATGCGTGCGCGTGTATGGTCCCAGTAGAAAAGAATGAAAGCCTTGAAGATTAAGTCTTTTTCATGATTTTTCTATCATGTTTTGTTTTGTCCGTAATGGTAGGTTCATCGATTTATCAAGAAAAAGACATTGTTATGATTCATCAAATGATACGTGATCTCAGCAGCAAGGTTGACATTGCACTTATGAATATCAACAAGTTATGTAGGATCCTAATGCCTCATGAAAAGAGAATTACAAGACCAGAAGGTATGCCATCTCTGCCTTTGAAAACATTAAAAGACTTCGACATGTTCGAAAAATTTTTGGAGCAAGGTGTTAACCAGAGTGCAATGGTGAGTGAATGAACCTTAATAGTATATATTGTCTATGGCAACTTGATTATTTTGCTTTACTGATAACTTCTAATTTTGTAGACTGATTATCTGGATGCTTTTCCTGTTCCACCCAAAGAATATAATGCTACAATGTGTTTATTGGCTACAGTTATGACAAACGGTTTGGCTTCTAATTTTAACTTTGATGGCCAAAAGTACAAATTAGGTTTCCAAAAAACTCGCTTGTGGAAGACTATTGAAGGTAGATTAATATTTCTTACTTAACTTTGTTGAATTTTATATAGTGTCTATTTTACATACTTTAAACCTCTTTTTCTAAATTTTTACAGCAACACTCCTGCGTAAGTATGAAGGCAGCCAACTTACTGATGGCTTTAAGGCAGTTAAGTCATGGCTGCGGAATGCACCTTGGCGATTAGGGGGTCAAGGATCTCTGAAGCAAAGAGCCAATGCGACAATCTAAAATATTACAGTTTCTTTCTTTCTTTATAAGTCATTTATTGTACTATAATGAATATTTCAAGTACTAATGTAATTTTTTTAAATTTATTTTTTAATATTGATTGTGATATTTTGTCAGTTAAGAAAATTCATGTAGTATTGACTGCAAAAATCCTTGTATACAGGGTGTTACAGAATGACCGTATCAGGCGTTAATTTGGAAAAATATGCATTATGGTGAAAAATGTTTCAGACAAAAGTTGTTTGGTTTCGAGGGTGATATAAGATGGTGTCATTAATTTGACCTTGAATAATTGCTTGAAGGTCACGTGAAGGTCACCTTCAATTTTTTTTAATGGAACCCCCTATTGTTTATTAAACTATCTTATTCTACTAATTAATATGAACAACTTTTGTTGAAAACTTTTGTGATTTGCCTAATACTTTTTGAGATATTTAAGAGAAAATTTTATAACTTTTTCACTGTTTAGCTTATGATATCTCGATAAC